GCCACGCGATAACCACTCCGCCATAGTGCCGGTTGATGTTCGATTGATCATCTGTTGCATATATGATTGCCAATCTGTTGCATATATGATTGCCAATCTGTGGTGCACGAGAATGCTAGCGGCGTTCCTGTGTTGTGGCACGTGGCGTGCTCGCCGGAAAGGGAGCGTCGAGTTGCGTGCCAACGCACTGCTGGGCTGGAATGGCCCCGCTCTCCAACCTTGACCACCACGACTATCGCCTTTTGACAAGATGATAGCTTGGAGGTTGCCGAGTGGATGCGAGAGAAAGAGTGAGGAGCGATGCGAGCAAGGGAGAGAGAGACAGACAGAGAGGAATGCAATCTGGCTTCAATGCGCGAGCGGTTTGCGGTGTCTTGTAGCGAGAACGCCGATTTGGGAAGGATTGCGTTTGTTAGAGCGGCGGAACAAGCTCGGCGGGTCTCCGCTCAGGCCAGCATGGCGAGGCGCTTGCACGAGCCGAACACGGATTATTGAGGGCGTGCCGGAATCGAGGCGAGGCGGGGCGGGGCAGGGCAGGGCAGGGCAGCATGGCCGATCGATGGGCTGCCAATTTCAGCTTGGCTGGCAACCTTTTTTCGGCAGCTGAGCGCCCAAAGGCTGAGCGCGTGCCCGCCTCTCTGCCCGTTTTGGATGCCTCTTTTGGACGCCCTTTTGGCGACCCAGAGCACCGGGCGCGAGGGCATGAGGGCATGCACAGCAGCAGTGCACCACCTCTCTCTGCTGCAGCATCGAGCCGCGAGCCACGAGCCGCGAGCTGCGCGCCTCCCGTAACGCACCGCCGCCGCCTTTGGCCTCCGCCCGCAACCAGAAATCGGCTCGAGCTTCCGAGGCCTGCATCCTCCTCCTCGTCGCCATCCTCCTCGTCCTTTCCCTCTCGCCAACTCACCTCGCACGCACATCCGCGTTCGTGTCTCCTACCTTCATCCACCTCGCCATCCGCTATCCACGTGGTCCGGCTTACAAACACGCGCGCCGCACCCCTCCAATCAGTCAGTCATCGCTCCACTACCACCCACCATCCACCAAAAATACTCCTGTGCACCGACACACGCGCGCCATCCACCTCGCCAACGCCCTCCCTCCAACCGTTGGCACAAACCTAGGCTCTCTATCGGCATCGCTCTCGAGCCATACGCGCTCCGCACTCGCGCCGCTGTCGCCGTCTACACCGCCCGTACTCTTCTTTATTTTGGACCTACTCTCTCCATCTCGTACTCCGTCATCTCGCACCGCTACAACACTCGACCGCAATCAATGCTCTCCCTGCACTCTCCTCCGTGCTAGATCCTACCTCTCCCCTGTCCCGGCTTCACCGCCTTCATCGCCGCCGAGCATCGCCAAACATGCACCCTCGACAGCCCAGCGGTCCCGGTTCCACAGACGCCATGGAGTTCTACGATCGCATGCACACCCCGAAACACGAGATCGACATGTCAGACGCCTTCGCTGCCGCCCTTCCCCCCACCGTCGGCGTCGACCAGCACGCTCCCCTCACAAGCGTGCCCGAGGATTCGCAGCTAGACACGCACACGCTCTCATCCTCGGCGGCCGCACCACCCACTCCACCCGCTGCCTCGCAACAACACCAAGCCAGTCCCAACGGTCGCTCGCTCGACAAGCTTCCCACCAGCAACTACGGACTCGTGCAGCCAGGTGGCCGTCCAGACGCATCCTCTCGCACATCCGCTTCCGACATCACAAAGCCGCTGCCAGGCTTGCCCTCCACGCGTCCCACCAACGCCGAGCAGCTCTCTCTCCCGGCCACCAACCCGGCCGCACCTCACAACACTGCCGCTTCCCTCGTCGACCCTCGGACGACCTCGGCAGCTCCCAATCTAGCAGCTTTCGCACCACAGCACATCCCGCGTCCGCTCGCAGCGTCTCAATTCGCTCCCTCGCCTCCCTCGGCCTCTCCTCTTCGCACGCCACCGAGGCAGGCCCCGCTCGATGCCTCCTACCCTTCCTCGGTCGAGCCATTGCGCATGCCCAACTCGATCTCCATCGGTCCATTCTCCCCGCCAGATGCAGATCCACACCGCTCCATGATGGACAGCAATCGCAACAGCATCGATGAGATCCGTCGCAACCACGCCGCAAGAGCTGCCCGTCGTCAGTCTCACAATCCTTCCGTCACAGACCAACGCGCCGCCAACGGTCTCGTGCCCCCCGACGCCGCCTTCACCCCCACCCGCGGACACGCACAGAACCACAGCGAGGCCCTCGCCGCCTCCCCCGAACCCACGCAGCGCCACCGTCGTGCCATGGCTTCCGAGCCCCCACGTCCTTCCAGCGTGCTCGAGACCCGTGCCGCTCGCATCGAAGCGGTTCAGCGACACCACGAAGGCCATTCTCGCCTCGACGAAGGCAGCTCCGACACTTTCGACGCAACCGACACCTTTGCCTCCTCCCGCGACACCAACGTCGATCGCTCCTCCCAGCAGCACCTGCAACTCCGCGCCGCACGCGAGCACGAGGAACGCGAGCGCGAGCGCCAGCTCGAACACCACCAGCAGCAGCAGCAGCAGCAGCAGCAGCA